GCGAACTTTCAGAGATGGACATTATGGGCACATCAACAATAAACCAACTGGTAGTGTTGGTTTTTTACTAACAATAGGACAGGTAGTAACTTTAGGATGGAGTGAGAGGATGTGCCATGCTCTCCAGCCATGGAAGTGGTCAGGAATCAGGTCTGTGAACACACACGGCTATCTGGAAAAGGCGGATAAGGGGGCTGGGGAGCTGGAGAAAGCAAGGCGTTTAGTGGAGTTTGACCTGGGCCAGCACACTACTGTGTCTGCCGGGCAGCAGAAATGGGAGTTCAAGAAGGGAAGACACATCATGCAGTACATAATACTCCTTGCCATATGATAAGAAGATAATAGATATTCAGGAAAAAATGGGGAAGCAGGGAAAAGGTACCACTGCACTTTCTCAGCAGCAGATGTTGGTTGTGTTACTAATACATCTATTGATGTTTAAATTATATAAGACATGAAGCTGGGTCATTTTAAGTGACAAAATGCAGTGACTGCTTGAACATGATTGAAACCATAGCCACCTCACATTCTCAGAGCTGTTGCCCCCACCCGAACTGGAGTTCTGTACCTTTGAATGATAACCTGTCATTCTTTGTCTACCCCAGCCTACAGGAACCACTTCCATGTCCTCCATTTATACGCATTCGGCTTCCCTCCATACCTCATATAACTGGGATCATACAACAATGGCTCCTTTGTCTCTGATCTATTTCACTCAACACAATGTCTTCTAGACATCAATATGTTCGCTAATGCATTTATAAGAGTTTCATTCTTTTTTAAGAGAACAGTTATCCATAGTAAATATAGTTTTTTCATGCATCAATAGTCACCTGGGTTGCTTCTGCCTTTTAGCTGTTGTGAATAATAACACTGCTTTGGGCATGGACAAATCCCTATGCAAATTCCCATTCAAACCTCTGGGATAAAACCTAAGAAATGAAGTTGCTGTATCATGTGATAGCTTCATACTTCATTTCTGGGATATTCCCCCATGCTATTTCTGGTAATTGTGTTTTAAAGGTAGATTTATCAGGAGTTGCTAGGCAATTGGTGTTATGAATTACAAAAGGACACTTTATAGTACAAGATTTTCACCTTTAAAATGGGAGAACTACGGGGTCAGCTCCTGGAATAAGGAATTCTGGGATCATTTTGGCATTGTGTGGGAGAAGGTTATGGTTAGACAGAAAGGCCCTGTGCAAGGAATTGTGTATTTTTCATATATCTTAAACAGATGATACCATCAGACAAGCAATTTTGTGTACTTCTCTGTAATGCCAGGGTAAGCACTAGAAACGTGCTTCACATGCATTATCATTTGGCATGTAAATACTACTTAAATCGTAAGACTAAATGCAGTCATTTAGTGGGATGGAGCTCTGCATAGACTTAAACCTTGATAGAGCCCAACATTCAGAGACTCGACCAAGAAGGTGCTGGCAAAAGAGGCTGAGGAGTCTCTGTGATAGAAGAAACCCAGTGAATGAGTTTTTTTCTAAGTCATGGAAACAAAGTGCGTCATGAGGGAAGAATGATCTGCACCCCTTCCCACCCAGGACAAGAGCATGATGATGGGATTTGGCACAGTGAGGGGAATAGATGTGCCTCACAGAGTCATCTCAAGGCCCCAAGGAGATGGAAGCTGGTTAGTGGTCTGATATGAAAGTAGCAGATGCCATTCCTAATCCCACCTGCCAGCATTCAATTCAGGAGTATCTTCACTAAAGAAAGGTAAGACGCAGCAACGGGAGGTGGTGGCTTCTTCGAGATTCAGTGGTAGCATATTTTCGTAGAGGAGAAGGAAGACTTGACGTGGCGTGCAAGGGCGTTTACAAAGGTGATGTAGGAAGGGAGAGAGGACAGGACTCCAAGTCCCACAGAAGAACTGGTATGCCATAGTCAATGGTAAGTCAAAGGTAGGTGGGTTCACACGGTTCTCTGATCTTGGTGAAGTGGCAGCCTAAGGTCATCCACTGAGAGGAAGCAAGAGGTGAGAGTGTGAGGGGCTTTTAGGGATGATCAAAATGTGAGGTGACCTCAGAGAAGGCAAGTGTCACACACTGACACTTAGCTGGCTGTGAACCACCTGTGTTGTCTCTATCCTGTCATGTGGAGTCTTCAGTCTCGGTCTTTAGAACCTCAGTGAGGATTCTACAGTGGCCAGACTCATGTATGCTCTCCCAACAGTGTGCACAGATCTTTCGCATCCTCAACAGGGTCCACTGTTGGTTGTTGTTGCTTTCTTAATGAGCCTTCTGAATGTGGCTATTGCTTGGAATAGCTCTGGACAGACATGGAGTCTGATGGCTTAGGTCTGAACTGTTGCAGAAAGTCCTCCCTTCTCCAAGCTCCTGAGAGGAACCTCAAATATAACCAGTTCTGTTGACACTAAGTTAAACAAGCTATAAGTGAAGTAATCATCTTAGAAAAAGTGGATTCTTATTCTGGCTTACTTTATGTTACCAAAGTAATTCTAAAGAAAGGAAATGGAGTTGCAATTTAGAACTAGAAAACTCAACTTGTTCTAGTGGGAATTTTAATGTAACTCAGAGCTTCTTTTGAGTTTTTTTTCTTCTGGTGTGTGAATAAACCATTTTATCATACTGCAATTTTCCCTGTACTGACTTAGAAGTTACCTCATTATAGTTTGAAGAAACTGTGGTTAGATTCTAAGCTTGTGTGCCTTATTACAATGACTAAAAATCTACATTTTATTATATTTCCTCATATTCTTTCATTGATGTTGTGACAAGAAAGCCCCTTTACCATGTCATATCTTTCTGGTTTGGTTCCTTTTGTATCTCTCTCATCCTCCCCACCCCTGGGGAACAACATCTCATTTCCCTCCTGGTCATCTGAACACAGTGGTTTACCTACATAGATAAGTGTGGGGAGATGAAATGGACATAAGATTGAAGCAAGAAAGTGTATTCAATCAATTATTCATCTCTCTGATTTTTCCATATTATTCTCTAAGTTTTAGTGGACTTTGGGAAACTTAGTGGACAGAAAAGATAAGAGAGTCCAAAAAGGATCAACCAATACACTCAAGTACTTAATATTGAACTCACAAAATATGAAGTCTGGCTGATTCCTTGCTGTCATAAATACAGGCCAAGAGATATTTATATTGGTCTTGCCAAACTCAACTTTTTCCTGCCTGAGCCTCTTGCTTTCCTGGAAAACAATGACACTAACTGGATACAATCTGAAAATGGCAGAAAGAGCCTGGCATCTGGATTACCCCCAGCTTCCTGCTACAGAGAGGTTTGGTGGTGTACAGTAGCAAGTGGCCTGTACTATTGGATCCACCTTCCTATGTGCTAGAAATTTCCCTGGGTCTCCTTTAGTCAACATCACAGACAGAGACTCTGTGCCGTCCAAGAAACCATCCCTGGCATCAAGGAGGTCGGTCATGAGCCTAAGTGTGAAGAAGAGTTGTACATTAAGTGTGGCACATATTATAGGGGAGTCAAAACCACATCCAAACATTTGTTTCAGCACTGGAAAGTCAGGGAAGGTTTCTTGCAGAAAGTGAGATCTCTGATGCCCAGGGTGAATGTGCTGTGTCCCAGAGTGGTGGCGAGAGGGTCTGATGTAGGCTAAAGTAAGAGGTACAGTTATAAGCAGGCACAGGTTTTCAGGCAATATGTTAGAAGATGTTACCTGTGCACACAAGTCTGAAGCACAGAACAGGATAATGCAATGGCTTCTGTGACATGTGTGAGTTTGGACTTGATGATTCTTCAGACAAAGGGTTTGGAGACAGCTCTGCAATATGACAAGGGTGCTTTGCCACAGAAACCTGCAATTTGAAGTCTGGTTACACTATCTTTCTTGTAAATTGAACCCTGTAGCACACACAAAAAAAGAATCCTGCCACAGAGAAAGGTGATCCCTCTATGGATCCAGAATGAATTTAATGGACTAAGGCACAAAAGGAAATTTTCAGGGTTCACAAGTTAATTTATGCCAGCTGAATTCTGATGTAGTTTGCCCTGACTCTGTTTATAAGTTTATCAATTCTGTCAAATAATGATGATGTCCAGCCTTTGTCTGTCAAAAGATGAGGTCATTTTTTTTTGTTCTGACAACATAAAAGCCACTTGACCAAGCTAATAATGTGTTCCCAAACCCGTTTTAGAAATGTCTTTCCTAATGGTTTTTGAGAATCTAGGATGAAGCGTTTTTAATGGCACATTAGGGAAGGGTTGTGAAAATCTGAGCCTAGAGAATTTGGAGTTGTTATAAACTATAGTGCTAGTCTCTGACTGAAGAGAATTGCCCAGCGTAATCATTTCATAAGAACACGGGAAACACTGTCACCATTAGTCTTCACATTTGTCACCACAAAACTCCATCATATCTAATAACAAAGGTATGTTTTAAAGGTATACAATGTTATGCATTGATAAACATATACATAATAAAATGACTATTACTATCAAGCAGATTCCCATTGCCTACACATGAAAGTACCTTTGTAGCTTGGAGTCGACCATGTCAGAAATTGACCAGCTTGGCAAATTTCCACAACACAATGTAATATATAGTAATTATAGTTGTCATGTTATGCACTAATTCGTAGATGATTTGTCCCTCTTACTACCCTGAGTACAGTAATTAAGCAATTAATGACCTCAAACCATGCATAACTTGGGTTTCACAGGAAGATATAATATTACTCATGCTACTTTATGCAATGTAAATGTCCCCCAAATCTACACTTTCATGGTAGAGCAGTTAAGAGTCTTTGTGAATGAGACAAACCCAGGTTCAGAACCCAGATCTCTCATTGATCTTTGGCCTCGGCTGGATCCTTAGTTTTCTAATCCACACAGCCAATGTTAACTGTCTCAGATCCTTTGATAATGGGATGAAACGCCAGCACAATGTTCCAACCCTAAACAGGATCTGTTGAGCATTTTTGTTTTCACCATATGGTTCTATTTGCTTTATTATGAACAACTTTATCTTGTCTGTATTTCCTCCCCTAGGGATATGAAGCCTGACAATATCTTACTTGACGAACATGGTAAGTAATTGATTTGCTTGCAGTCATCTATATGACAGGTATTCACAACATGTTGATTACCCTAGCTTGATTGAGTTGACATATATATGGATTATATATAAATTTCATCTGTATATAGGAGAGGCGAGATAGGAAACTTTATAACAATGTAATAATCCAATAATAGACTCTTAAATAACATTGAAATGAAAATCACAAGGAGAAAGTCATCCTTACTTCATTTTCCTCCATTATTATTCCTCTCCCAGGAAACGATCTGTTGTTTTAGTACTAGTTTTTCTTACCATCCCTCAGTGAAAGATAGAGCTAATTTGAACGAACAGCATTTGACAGGTAATAGTATCCACCACGTAACTCATGCTTTTTGTTTTTTACTGTATCCTTTCATAGTCTGCATCTCATGAAGGCAAATTCCTCCTGCACGTAAGAGATATCAAGTCTTTTGTTCAAACTTTTCAGTTTAGAAAACAAATGAGCTTAAAGGAAAAATATATAAGGCAGGTAAAAAAATTACTGAGATGAGATAGAAAATTGATAGTGGAAAATGGCAGTAATCATGAAGGGGATCGTGGATGCCTAATGTACAAGAGCACTAGCTTGTTGTGCGTGGCCCTTTAGTCCCAGCACTTGGAGGCAGAGGCAGTTGGATCTCTGTGACTTCGAGGCCAGACTGGTCTACAGAGTGATTTCCAGGACAGCCAGGGATACACAGAGAAACCCTGTCTCGAAACAAAACAACAACAACAACAACAACAAAAAGCACTGACTAAATACAAGATTTTGCCACCATAATGAAATATGCAGTCTCTTCTCGACATGTTTAAATTTTTATTTTATGTGTATGTGTGTTTTTCCTGTGTGCGTGGATATGCACTGTGTGTGTGCATTGACGGCAGAAGCCAGAAGAAGGCACAGTATCCTCTAGAATTCTACTGGTTGATTGCTGTGATTCACTGCTAAGCAAACCTGGTTCCTCTGGAAGAGCAGCAAGTGCTCTCAACCACTGAGACATCTCCTCAGCCTCTCCTCTAACATTTTAAAACATCTTTTTGGACTTATTGGTACCGCATCAGGTCTGCTTGCCTGATGTAAATGGGAAAGCACTGCTGGTGGGTACTTTTGGCAATATGTGTTTCCAGGTTCTTGGCATCTCATTAAGCTAATTGAAAAAGTGCACACAGTGGCAAAGCAGCTTCATTCAAAGACTGCTGCAAAGAAGCAGCAGTCTACTGCAGCTGGAGTATCTGGAAGCCTCAGTTACGGTTTGAGGCTTCCCTTTCATGCAGTCCAGGAGAAAAGGTTGGTTGCTAAAAGGAGTCTTTCAGTTTTGATTGACAGGATTGAGGGATGTAAGCTGTTGTTTACTATGTCGTTTCCCACAGTGCATCTGATCTTGATCACATGTCTGTGCAATTTTGCACAAGCATTAGGTAGCAAATAGGAGATTTTACCTCTCACTCAGACAGCATAGTTGCCTTACTGTATATGAATCCCAAACCAGTGAAGTAGATGGCTGTCTTAGATAGGGTTTCTATTGCTGCAATACACCATGACCAAAAGCAACTTGGGGAAGAAAGGGTTTATTCAGCTCACACTTCCACATGGCTGTTTACCACCGAAGGAAATCAGAACAGGAACTCAAACAGGGCAGGAACCTGGAGGCAGGAACTGATGCAGAGGCCACGGAGGGCTGCTGCTTCCTGGCTTGCTGCCATGGCTTGCTCAGCTTCCTATCCTGTAGAACCGAGGACTACCAGCCTAGGGATGACCCCCACCCACCATGGTCTGGACAATTCCCCATTCATCATTACTTGAGAAAATGCCTTACAGCTGGATCTCATGGTTGTATTTCCTCAGCTGAGGCTCCTTCCTCCCAGATAATTTGTGTTAAATTGACACATAAAGCCAGCTAATACAATGGCTTATTTCTCTTCTTCCCTCATTCCTTACTATATATTAAAGCATGCTCAAATGGATATTGGTATAGGACGGTCAAAGAGCAACTCACTTTATTGTTAAAGCGAGGGGTACCTGCAGACTTATGCGGGGGTAGGGGGTACCTGCAGATTGATGCGGGGGTGGTGTCCTGTGCTACATTGGATGCGTTCTTAGGAAAGCAGTATGTGTGGCTCACGCCATGTGGAGGCACAGGGTGCCCAGCTGCCATTGCCTGACTTCACAGGGGCAGTTTCAGCCTTGGTCCGTATTGGACAGCTTCTACAAAGCGAACCTGAATCTGTGAAGATCCTTATTTATTCACCACTGATAAATAGGATTTGTAATTAGAACTGAAACTTCAAGTACTATCAAGTCCTTATTATTTATTTACTTACTGGAATTGAAACTTGATTTTCCTAGCCCCACCTAGGCTCAGAGAGCCTTTGTTCATGGCCCCTGATCTCAAAGCACAAAGTCATTACTTATTTATGGACTGTCGGAAGGGATTTTCCCCCCACTTCCTTCCAATGTCTTATTTCTTTACAGTTACAGCTTCTGACATTTTGGAACACATTTCTGAGTCTCAGAAATGTGAGCAATGCTGAGACTTAGCATGAAGGTGACCTTCCTGAAAACACCAGCTCTTCCAGCCTTCTATAGGAGGCATGATCCTCCCATGCCTGGCTTAAGTACACTCTATGAATCTTCAGAATTGGAGAGACGGGCAGCCTGTGCAAGCCGCCCTTTTGTTGTTTAGACAGAAAGAAACTCTGTACAGCCAAGATTTCTGGAAAACATGCCTGGCTAAGCAGAACCAGGTTTTGCTCTACTCCTTACCTTCTGTGACAGACAGCTGCCATTAGGCAAGAATACCCATCACTTCATTTGTAAGACTCAGAGAAGTCATCTAGACCTTACCAATGGAAACATTTTCCCCTCCAGTTTCAGTCTTCGTTCTTAGAACATGCTTGATCATGCTTTTACATCATGTCTTCCCATTGTCCTTTATTTCACATTCTCTTTGTTGCCCTCCTCCTCCTCTTTATTTTTTCTTGGAAAATTTGGTGATTATAGATTAGGAAGAAAATGAGTGAATCAATTAATTTTCATGTGTAGCCCCACAGAGAGCCTATTCCCGTGAAAGACTGATACAATGTTATTTAGAGTGTGAATGCCAGAACTAGATTGCTTTAAAACCCTGCTCCCTACTCACTAGCTCTCAGAATTTAGTCAAGTTCCCCAGTCTCTATGCCTTTGTTTCTCAGACAAGAACACTTACATCTTGGGGGTCATTATAAGCACTGAAGCAACACTGACAACATAGGGTGCAATGTCAACCATAAAAACAAACTAACAAGTCAGACAGTGGTGGCTCACACCTTTAATCCCAGCACTGGGAGACAGAGGCAGTCAGATATTTGTGAGTTCAACACCAGCCTGATCTTCAGGACTAGTTCCAGGACAGCCATGGTTACACAGAGAAACACTGTCTTGAAACAAGCAAACAAACAAACAAACAAAAACCGCTTAGGATGAAATGGGAGTGTGACTTCCATGAGATTTTAGAGGCTTTCAAGGACTGTGTAGAGCAGCATGTATCTTATATAGCTCATATCTATATAGACAGAGTCTAGGAATGTTAAGTGACTATTAGTCTTCCCCAGAGAATTACTAAATATACTAAAGATACTCTTTCTTGTTGAATCTTGGGTTTAAACATGCTCATTTAAACTTAATCTTCAAGTAACTCTACTTATTTTTTTCTTATTTAAGTTTTTTTTCATTTTATACACCAACCACAGCTCCCCCCTCTTCTTCTCCCATTTCCTCCCACCATTCAATCCCCCCATCTACTCCTTACTTAGGGTAAAGCATCCTACTGGGAGTCAACAAAGTCTGACATATCAAGTTGAGGGAGGACCAAGTCCCTCCCCTCAGTATCTAGGTTGAGCAAAGTATCCCTCCATAGTGAATGGGCTCCAAAAAGTCGGTTCATACACTATGGATAAATTATGGTCCCCATAGACTGCCAAAGCCATGTAACTGTCATCCACATTCAGAGGACCTCCTTAGGTCCTATGCAGGTTCCCCAGCTGTCAGTCCAGATTCAGTGTGCTCCCTCTAGCTCGGGTCAGCTGTCTCTGTGGGTCTCCCCATAAAGATCTTGACCCCTTTGCTCGTATAATCCCTCCTCCCTCACTTTGACTGACTCGGGGAGCTCGGCCCAGTGCTCAGCTGTGGATCTCTGCATCTGCTTCCGTTGCACTTGCAATGGTCCATCCTGCTTTCCTTCATTTACACAGTTGTCCGAAGTCACTGTTCTTGGCGTTTTCATTCTGTTTCAGACTTTGTGGCTTGGGATGTGAGAGCTGTCTTCCCTGCCTTCCTGAGGGACAGTTTCAGTGTCTCAGAAGCCAGGAAATCTCCAGTGCTCTCTTTCACTTTCAGTGCTTTGATTTAAACTATGGACAACAAAACAAGGACAGCCACAAGAACTGTATTGTAGTCCATTCTAAACTCACCTTCACAATTGTTACTATTAACCAAAGAAGAAAAATTGCTCCGGAGGGACTTTCTGGGGGAGACAGAAGCAGACAAAGTGGAAAGTCTGGGGTCCATCCTGGAAACCCTATCCTGGGGCTCCCTTTCTATAGAAGATAGTTGTGTTGACATCATTTTCACTTAAATTACAAAAAAATCTGGGACTTTGACACTGTTCATGAACCAAAATTAGTCACTTTTAAGTGATTACATTCCCGAGCCTGTCTCCCCCAAGCTTCTGGGTTGTTTTTGTGAGAACCAGCAGAACCACAAACCAATGCTTGCCCTTTGGAGCAGCAGCTGCTCTGATTCCCCATGTTCCTCTTAGAGCCGAAGCTTCACTGATCTCTGCCACCACATCTTCAGTATTTCACCCCTGGCATGGACATATTAGCAACTGCGAAGGGCAGTTGCGTAATTTTTCTTCCACGCCTCCTCCTGTGCCCATCATTCTAAATAAGTACTGCATACATCCTGTGGGTTTCTGTCTTAACTCACCTGTGCTCAGTAAAAGGATGACACTTTGTTTTATCCTCATGATTCATATTGTTCATTTTCACTAATACGTATTGGCATTTATGTGAGATTATACAAAATGAAGACTCTTCACACAGTGTGAATGAACATCTCTAATGACTCAACATTCAACATAAAAAATGTTTTTCATTTTGAGCACTCAAGTTACTGCTCTCCCCAGATAGCTCACTTACACTAATTCAGGGCCAATATGGCATCGGGTCTTGGATGAATCATAGCAAACCATGCTGATGCATATCTTCCCATCCAACCAATTGAAATGGCCAATACAATTCTATTCCTTCCATATGTCTAAATTATTTGTGTTTTGCTTAAGTTAGTCAAGAAGCAAATGCTACATCCTGGGGAACAGTAATATCTGCCTGGCATTATCAAAGACATTGGCAATTATAAAATCATACATAACTTAGCTTCTTAATATCTGTAGTCACAAGAGAGGGAGGTAAAAATTCATTCTTGAGAATGAGAAAAAACGGAGCCTTCTCTCTTATCAGCTTCCTCCATGAAGAGTCCCACCACTTGCTGAAAAATCAAGAAAGCATCCTATTAAAAATGCAAGATAACATATGTGGCCCCAGATAATGATGATCATGTCTTAGCTGCAGCTGAGAGTAGCTAACATCATAGGAAAGTGTGTGTACTGCACAAACTGTAAACACTTGTTTTAACAGTTGTGGTCATTGCCATCTGATTAGAAATGGTGTCCTAGAGAGACAAGACGTTGATGAAAGGGGCCTCAGACTGAGCACACCAACAGTGAGGAAGAATGGAGATGGTGACGACAGTAGTAGCTGAACTCAACAGCCCTGTAAGATGATCCAGTAGAAATTCTGCTACTTCTGCATCCTTACTAAGCTGTCCAAGGTGGAAACTTTCCCCCTGGCATCTAGATCAGGAAGTCCTTAGTCTTGTACAGGAAAGCTTTACACCAAACATGCTGCAATACTGAGGTCAGTGTCAAAGCAAAAACAATGAAAATAGTATCTCTACAGTCCTGAGCTTGAGAACGTTATTCCAGGAGTTGCTTGGAGCCCTGAGTTGTGGAAGAAGGTATAAATTTCCCTCAGACTCAAGGAAAGTCCTAGTTCCTCCCATCAGCATCACAGTGAACCCTCCCCTCTAAAGCACCATGGAAGCTGAGGCTCAGCATCTCAGACGGCACTGGAAAGTTGTTGTAGCATCCACTACAGCTCCCATAAATCCTATGTTTCATATATTTTCTCTGCATCCTGGTAGGGGAAGACGTCTAATTCAATGAAAAATTCCATGTTTCAAGTTCCTCAATCCTTTGGTTTTACGACAGACTATACAGCATTTTGGGAGATTCAGAACCTGAACCAAAGTATCACAAGAGTCATGTCTAGATACTAAACCAGTCCCTATATCGTAATGTTAATTCTGCTACTTCTGGATCCTATGAACTTATCTATAAACCAGTCACTTATGCAACAGGGCCCACTTCGCTAGGATGGGCTAGGACAGCATTGTAAAAACTGAAGGAATCATGTGCAGATGCTAATATATATTCACCATTCATTCACTCAAATCGAGCAGAAAGACAGTCAGTGTCTTTTTTTCCTTTTTGCCAGTGTTCCCCATACTTATTTTGTAGTTTTGTGAGACAGCCTCACTCTTCCATGAAACCATGCCTTCTTTCAAAACAATGATGTCAAACTCTGCAGCATTAGAGTCACCTGGAGGGCTTGGTTAATGCTGGGATCTGGACCTTAGTGCCTCTGATCCAGAAAGTATGGAGAGGCTCAGAGTTTTGTATTTCTTACTACAAGTTCCTGAGCGACACTATTGCTTCTGGTTCAGAGAACAGGCTTCAGGAATTGGGTGCATCCAGAGCATGCTTTACATTCTACTTCAACATACATCTAGGCAAAAGATAGAAAAACTTACTCGGGTTTTGGGAAGGGTCCCTTGCCTGATTGCCCATGACCACCGTCTTCTGGAGTTTTTGTTGTTGTTGTTATTGTTGTGTTTTCAATGCAGGTGTCTGGTTTTCCTGTCAATCCAGTTGTAGTTGGAGGAGAGTCAGACAAAGGCACATGTGCTCAACAAATCCATGCCTTAGTTTCTGATAATGACTGTCAACAATTCTGGTGCCCTGACAGGGCAGGGCTCAGTCTCCCATAGTCTGCTATCTCTCACTTCCCCATGACCTTACTTAGTAAGAAGACTACAGAGAGTCCAATGACTTTTTGAAGGTGACATAGTTGATTAGTGGTAGGGACTATACTTAGAGCCACATATCCTGACTCCAGAGACCAGACTCAGAACAGGGGTGATTTCAGGCCCACCTAATTTGCATCAAATTCCAAAGTTGTCCAATATTTGGGGCATGAACTATGGAGAAATAGAAGTAAAAAGAAACAGAGACAGCTTGAACCATGTTAAAGAGAGCATTTATTGATGTGGTTTGTCCAAGAATACTTTAACTTTCATTTTGATGAATTCTGCTTTTACCTGATGAAAATGCCATGCAAACAAAAAGAAAGTATTTTCTGCATAAAACAGAGCCATGTTGATGGAGAGAGTAACAGTTTTCCTAGTGGGGCTGGATGTGACCAGAGGCAGACTGTGGAGTTTGGTATGGGGAGTTTGGGCTGGGGACCCTGAAGGAGAATGAGGTGCTGGTCCCTCTTCAACCCCATCTCATCAAAGCAGCAGGCACATGCAAATGGGAATGACAGCACTCCCAGCTCCTAGGAAGGCAGATAGCTATTGTGCTAACAGCTAACGGACAAGCTGGCTTGAGTTTCCTGCCTTGCCCTTGTCTTCCTTCCATTTGTAAGTGCAGGAACCCTGGAACATTAAATAAGGTGTTATTTCCTACCAATCTTAAGTGCCGCACACACATTTTATTGCTGTGTTATAACCCAAAGAGACCTGTTTATTTCTGTGTTTCACAACTCAAAGAGTCCCTAGACGTCATTTGATCTACCAGTTATTTTTTTTTATTGTGGGGGAATTTAGGCCCAATGTAGGAAAAGGACTTAATGTCTACTACCTGTCAGGGACAGAGGTCTGGACTCAGATCATGTCTCCTGGCCCCCAATCCCTTTAAATAAAACTCTTAATTTTGCCTGTTGTTCCTTGATAGAAGTTACTTTGTTAGAGGTCACTGAATGCAACCTGCCCTGTCTACCTCCCCCATTCCAAAAGGGTCTTAGAAAAACAAGGAGAACAGCAACAACAGTAACGAAAATGTGTATCTGTATCCACACCAAGTAATTTACTTGTATTTTTAAAATGATCTCATAAGAAACTATGAGAATTGTGATGCTTTCAGAGGCCCTAGCTGTCGCCTATATGGAATACATAGGACAGGCAATCTAGACTGGCGCCAGCCGACGATAATATCCAGAGCTTGGAGCATGAACTCATCTACCAAATTTCAAACAGTCTGAGGTTGAACCAAGCAAGTTAATAGTCAGACACTAATGGCTGTGTATCATGCTCTGGCTGCTGCAGACCTGCTGGTTTGAAACCTCCTTGGCCTTGAGGATGGAATAAGGGAGCTTTTATTGGCTGTACTCAGTTGCAGCTAGCATACCGGAACTAACAGGCTAAGCATCCAGGTCTTTTCAATTAGATGGATGGCTGTTCTTCTAGGTTGAAGGGATTTAACATTCTCCTCGTCTTCCTCTCCCCACAGGACACGTGCACATCACAGACTTCAACATTGCTGCCCTGCTGCCCAAGGAAACTCGGATCACCACCGTAGCTGGCACCAAGCCTTACATGGGTGGGTGTGAGCAGCTTCACAAGTGTTTCCCACTTGTCAGAACAGGTCTTGTGTGTCTGATTCTTCTAGGTCGCATTCGCTGAAGGTCAGATCCATAAGGACTTGAACCTAGAGCAGTCAAGCTCCTTTCCAGTTGGCTTTACCCGGAGCGCTACTGATGTATGTGTCTGAAGCGAGGCAGAGGTGTCTGCAGAAAGCTACACAGGGTGATCTGGATTCAGCAGGAATACTGATCAAATTCTGCAAATGCAATCTTATGACCTAATTAGTTGTCTATCCATTTCTGTTAGTCAATGGCTAGTTACCTGTGTATCTGGAAGGGTTTTGACACAATCGTGACCCATTAATAAGCCACACAATGTCTCTAACTATGGAACTTGCATCCCAGTAGGAGAGATACAGAACAAATCAAACAAAAACAATTAGACATAAATTGAGTCATAACACATGACAAGAGTAATAATTTTAGCATTATTTAAATTATACTGCATGCACAAAACAGTGTGGTAAATTTTTCAAGGTATCTTCCCAGTTATGGGATTAGCTCCAATTTTGTTATCACAGTAATCTCATTAGTTAGTTTTTTTAAATAGCTTATGCCTAAGAACTGTTCTTTCATGCACATGCCTTCACTTACAGTGATATATTGAACTGGTTTTTGCCTTGATTAAGAATTTAACAGTGCAGTACTAGGATTCTAAGGGCCCATAAAGTCTAAATTCACTTGTAGCAACAAATCAGTTACAAATCCCATATTCAGTTGACAGAGCTGTCCTCTGCAGAGAAACACTGTTTTAGTAGAACTTGCTGTACCCTGTGTCCACTCTGGGAAATCTAGAGAACTATTTGTCAGGAGACATGTGGGTCTCACAGTAATGAAAAGCATCCCTTTTCCATATTCCCCCTAAAGACGTGAGTTAATTCTCATAATTATCTATTCATTCTTGGGTTGGATGTAATAACAGGATCTCAGCACTCAGATTCGGGTTGCATGTCTGTCTGTCTGCTGGGCTTGCTGTTTCCTGAGTTAACAGACCCTAGTTGTTCATGAGGGTTTGTTGACTGTGGAGACAAGTATTAGCAGTAGGAGACAAAACTTGATGTTTTGTGGGGTGGGGTGTGTGTGTAAAACTTGTGGTCCAGTTTACCATTAGAAAGGAGATTCACATCTGCATGGTCCACTGGAGATGCCAATAGTTGCAGTACAGTCTTACTGCACCAGACTTCCTAAGGGTAGACCCCTGTCATCATCAGGCTTAGAAAGTCATTAGGGCACTGTCTTGTAAGCTGAATTGACAGGCTCTGCCAACCCTGTGGCAGACTCACTGCACTTATGGTAGGAAATCATGGTCCCTTTTATGTGGTCAAACTCAATAGGTGCTTACTAGGAAACACGATATGGAGATGTGTACCACAAATTCTAGTTGGTATTAACAATAAAAACTCAGAGACAGATATTGAGGTTAATGCCTGAAGATCAGAGTGCAAAGCTAGACACAGCCAGTGTGGGGACACACCTTTAATCCCAGCACTCAGGAGACAGGCCAATGGATCTCTGTGAGTTTGAGGCCACCCTGGATTACATGGGAGTGAATCAATCTAAAGGAGAAGCAGAGCTCACATCTTTAATCCTAGCACTAGGGATGTGGAAACAGGAGTGATGTGGCTGGGAAGAGAGAGGAAGATAAGGCAGAAGGAGATAGGAGCTCAGTGTGTACTGAGGTTTGGTGGGGACAAAGGCAGTCTGGAGATTCAATCACTGTGAGGTTTGGTGGGTCGCCCTTTCAGTCTGAGCATTGGTAACAGGTGAGAACTCTCTAGTGGCTGGTCACTTTGCTTTTCTGATTTCAGGCAGAGATGTGTTAGAGCTAGCCCAGTCCTCCATGTCCACACGGAGGTGTGAAATCCAGTCTGGTGAGGAGGGTGACTAAGCTCTGAGAGACTGCTTTCCACAGTCGCCATACTGGGTTTTAAGATATTTGAAGCATTACATTAAAATGTGTTAGGTCTTGATGAGTGATAAACCATCAGTGGGGTGGAAGTGGTGCCAGCCAGTTAACGCCAGATATTAAACAATGAAGGACTACTAGCAGACCACAGGGGAAGAAAATCCCCTCTGCTCTTGAGCATCTCTCCTAATTAGTTAATTTCTTAGAGCTGTTGAAACTGAAGGGATTCAGTAGAGGTTGGGCTGAATCACACAAACAAGATATGGCTAGAGAATTTAATAGAAAACGTCTGAGCTTGAAAAATCAAGGAAAAGAGCAACGCCACTTTCAATTTTTTCCTATCAGTTTTCACTCCCTTTCCTCCATGTGATGGTAGAAGGGGTCACTCTCATGTGAAAGGCCACCACAAGACTGTCTCTGGGGAGAAAAAGCCTTATTTTATGTAACATTTGAACAACCGCAGATTTCACGGTTTTCAATGACCAGTGTGGGGGAATAAATTTCTTTTGTCAATTCTAAAATAATGAACACATCCAATTCAGTCCATTTTTCTCCTGAAACTGATGGCACTCTAGTGATAAAAGGGAATATCCAGGCCGGCTGTTCTGTCCAGTTTATTCCCCAGGTTTCCTGGGCTTCCCCATTATAGGCTATTTTCTTGGTGCCAAATCATAAAGTGTGCATCTGGGGTTTCTAGGGATGGTTTCCAAGGCAACAGAAGTACTGGGAAGACAACTTTCTTTTCTCTCTTGAGTCATTTTAAATATAATATCTGTATAATTTAATTTTTTTCACAGTTGTCATTTCTAGCATCTTCATAGAACAGAACTAGGAAATTGGAATCCAGACACCAGGTCAGACATTGTCCCACTTTCACCTTTTTAAATTTAAATTAGAAACAAGCTTGCTTTACATATCAATAACAGCTCCCTCTCCCTCCCCTCCTCAGCTGCTCCCCACAACCCCCTATCCCACCCCCTTTCTGCTCCCTAGGGAGGGTGAGGCCTTCCATGGGGGATCTTCAAAGTCTGTCATAGCATTTGGAGCTGGGCCTAGACCCTCCCTCCCCATGTGTCTAGACTGAGAGAGTATTCCACTATGTGGGGTGGGCCCCCAAAGTCCATTTGTGTACTAGGGAAAAATACTGATCCACTACCAGAGGCCCCATAGATTAACCAGACCTCCAAACTGACATCCTCGTTCAGGGGATCTGAATCAGTCCTATGCTGGTTTCCTAGCTATCAGTTTTGGTTCCATGAACAACCCCTTGTTCTGTGGGTTTCTCCAACCTGGTCTTGACTCCTTTACTCCTCACTCCTCTCTCTCTATAACTGGATTCCAGGAGTTCAGCTCAGGGTTTATCTGTGGGTGTCTGCTTTTGCTTCCATCGGCTGTTGAATGAAGACTCTAGGATGGCATATAAGGTAGTCATCAGTCTCATTATCAGGGAAGGGCATTTAAGGTAGCCTCTCCACTGTTGCTTAGATTGTTAGATGTGGTCATCCTTGTAGACCCCTGGATATTTTCCTAGTGCCAGATTTCTCTTTAAACTTATAATGGCTCCCTCTATTAGGATATCTCTTTTCTTGATCACCTTTATTCTTTCCCTGACTCAATGTTCCTGCTCCCTCATGTTTTCCTCTCCCCTCGTCTTCTCCTCTTCTCTTTCTCCTAACTCCCTCTCCCCCCCCATGCTCCCAATTTGCTCATGAGATCTTGTCCCTTTCCCCTTCTCTGGGGGACCATGTATGTGTCTCTTAGGGTCCTCCTTGTTTCCTAGCTTCTCTGGTGGTGTGGATTGTAGGCTGGTAATCCTTTGCTCTATGTCTAAAATACATATATGAATGAGTACATACCATATTTGTCTTTTTGTGACTGGGTTACCTCACTCAGGATGATTTTTCTAGTTCCATACATTTGCCTGCAAATTTCAAGATTCCGTTGTTTTTTTTCCACTGAGTAGAACTCCATTGAGTAAATGTACCACGTTTTCTCCATCCATTCTTCAGTTGAGGGACATCTAGGTTGCTTCCAAGTTCTGACTATTGCAAATAATGTTGCTATGATCATGGTTGAACAGATATTCTTGTTGTATGAATGTGCATTTTTGGATATATGCCTAAGAATGAAATTGCTGGATCTTGTGGTAGACTGATTCCCATTTTCCTGAGAAACCTCTATACTGATCTCCAAAGTTGTTGTATGAGTTGGCACTCCCACCAGCAGTGTAGGGGTGTTCCCCTTTGTCCATATCCTCTCCAGCATAAACTGTTATTGGTGTTTTTTTTTATTTTAGCCATTCTGACAGGAGCAAGATGGTATCTCAGAGTTGTTTTGATTTGCATTTCCCTGATAGCTAAGGATGTTGAGCACTTTCTTATGTGTCTCTCAGCCATGCTAGATTCCTCTATTGAGAATTTTCTATTTAGTTCTGTACCCCACGTTTTAATTGGATTATTTGGTGTTTTGGTGACTAGCTTCTTGAGTCAGCCCTCTGTCAGAAGTGGGGATGGTGAACATCTTTTCCCATTCCTTAGGCTGCTGTTTTGTCTTGTTGACTGTGTCCTTTGCCTTACAGAAGCTTCTCAGTTTCAGGAGGTCCCATGTATTAATTGTTGACCTCAGTGTCTGTGCTACTGGTGTTATATTCAAGAAGCTGTCTCTTGTACATGTTTGTTCAAGGGTGCCACCTACTCCCACTTTCTCTTCTAAGAGGTTAATTGTGGCTGGATTTTTGTTGAGGTCTTTGATCCATTTGGACTTAAGTTTTGTACATGGTGATAAATATGGATCTATCTGCAGTCTTCTACATGCCAGTATCCAGTTATGCCAGCACCATTTGTTGAAGATGTTTTGATGTATCCATTGTATATTTTTACATTCTTTGTCAAAAATCAGCTGTTTGTAGGTGTGTGGGTCCATATCGGGGTTTTCAATTGGATTCCGTTGGTCTACCTATTTTTGTGTCAATACCAAGCTGTTTTCAGGACTATAGCTCTATAATAGAGCTTGGAATCAGGGATGGTGATGCCTCCGTAGTTTCCTGTATTG